GGTAGGCGCGCCCCCTGCCTCGTGCTCTCCACGTTGATTGCTTTACGTAGACTCCAAGTCCTCTGGATCACGTTTGTTCTGAAAATCACGTTCCCGAAGGTTTCGTTCCGTTTGGACTCTGTTTGATATTCTTTTTCTATGAAACACTGAAATAGGCAAAAAAAACAGCAATTTGGGTCGGGCCTCTGGTTAATAGGTTAGTCCCAAAAATAATATAAAAGTGTATAATAAAGCCCATTAAACATCCAAAATAGAATATAATATAGCATGGAACAATCAAAAATTATAGATACGTTGGAGACGTATCACTACTCCATTAAACAGTACTCACATTTTGCAAGAGCACGATACTTCAAGATGCTACTACAAGATCACTACCCCAAGATGCTACTGCAAGATCACTACCCCAAAATGCTACTGCAAGAACTACTCCAAGATGCAAACACTATTGTGTGCTCAATTACTGCAAGCTACTGGATCTAAGGAACCTCCTATTACTACTCAATTAGGAAAATCAGCTGCTCAACTACTTTTGTCAAATCAACTACTACATCAAATCAGATGGTCAACTACTGCTCAATTAATAGCAACAAATCAAATGCTCAACTACTCCTATTGCAAGCACTACTGTAGCAAAGCAGCTACTGTAGCAAATAAGCTACTGTAGCAATTCAGATGCTCAAATACTACAAGCAAATCTGCTTGCAAACTTTATTGCTAGGAAAAGAGAGCATGGAGAAGATTGAGTCATACCAGGCGTACGAAGCCGTGGCACCGTGGCATGGCGCGGCAGTGGCGCTCCGGCGGTTCCTCGCCGCCGCACATATCCGACTACTCCTCGCTGCCACATAGATCCATGACGTCAAGATCGGATTGGCCAAGAATGTACATCTCGATCTTCATCCAAACCTCAAGCACGAATACCTTAGCCAATCTTCTCCAACCAGGGCAATCTAGGTTTGACCTCTTTCATTTTTTTTTACCAAAACAATTAAGTTAAAGCCCTCTTTTGTTTCATGGTGCGCCTCAACTATGGACTGGAACCTTGAACATCTCTAGGACTTCAAGCCTTGTTAAGCAAGGGATGATGTGAGACAAGTTAAAGGGTAAAAAAGTGAGACATTTGTTTGGCACATCTGTGTAAGAAGGCTCAACAGGCTTATGAAATCTGTCATTCTTACAAACATATTGTCTTCACCCGAAGTTCTCTCCAAGCACAAGGAGAAACGATTGTTGTACATCCACATATGCCAACCTCTCTTCTTACTCCCCCTCTTCCCTTCCAACCCGGTTGTCGCCACACTCTGGGCACAATGGGTCCATTTGCTACATTCACAACCATTACAATGTTCAATTGTTAGAATAAATGGTAAAATAAATCTATGGCTTGAACAATCTATGAAAAAAAATCGACATGACCTTTGCTAAAAGTTGAACAGATTGAGTTTCAGAAATTTGACGAAATGTTGACAAATCAACATTTCGTCAAAACATTGGCACTCATGTATATTTCCCTATAAAACAAACATCGGCACTCGATGGCCGGTAGCACACAACGTACACACATATATCCATGCATACATACATGAACATATATCGGCAAAATATCGAAATATATCATCATATAAAACCCATAAAAATTTCAGCGTATATGAATTCGTTTTGTAATAAAATAAATGTACGATTTTTTAAAAAGGGAAAAATAAGAAGAAAAAAACTAAATTCGAAAAGAGAAAAAAAGAAGAAAGAAAGAAAACGAAATCGAAATCGAAATCGAAATCGCTCGTTAAGTGGGCTGGCCCGTCTGGAGGTTTCTTCAGCAAAGCGTACCTACTCCACTCGGTCCTGTCCATCTCTGTTCTCTCTATCCATCCATTCCCCCCCACGCGCCGCCACCGGCCGTCCAGCATCGCCGCCCCCATTCCCACCACATCTCTCCTCCGACGCGCTGCACCCATCGTGCCCAGGAGGATTTTCAGATCTAAATCCTGCCGCTTCCGCCGCCCCATGGAGGAGGAGAAATCTGCGGACGAGTTGAGCCCGGACAGATCTCTAGTGGCGGCGGCGGTTAGTCGACTCACCGACGACCTCATCGTGGAGATCCTCTCCCGGCTCCCCTTCCGGTCCGTCTGCCGTTTCAAGTGCGTCTCTAAGCCCTGGCGCGACCTCATCGCCCACCCCGCCCACCGCAAGAAGCTGCCCCAGACCCTCGCCGGCGTCCTCTACACCACCATCCCCGACGCCGGCGGCTTCCGCCACCACTTGGCCGGCGCCTACGCCGAGGGTCTTGATCTCGACACTTCACTCACGTTCCTGCCACATACGGAGTACAGGTACTTCGGGCTGGAGCACGCCTGCAATGGTCTCCTCCTCTGCTCCTACTACCCGGACGCGGGATCTCAAGTCCGTTTTGTCGTCTGCAATCCGGCCACCCGGAGGTGGGCGGAGCTGCCCCCCGGCCCGCAGCCGCGGCCAAACACATGCGGCTTTCACTGCCAGTTCCACCTGGCTTTTGATCCAGCAGTCTCATCCCATTTTCACGTTTTTGATTTCGAGCGCACTGACGACGTCGGCCTCACAGGAGTGAGCATCTACTCATCGAGAACCGGAGCCTGGACCCGGAGGGATACTGGATTGCTTGACAATGTTGTACTGGAACATCACAGTGTCCTGCTTCATGGTATGCTGCATGTTGTGGGCAACCGGCGTCGGACCAACAGCAACAACACTTGGGAAGACACTACTGTGCTGGTGGCCGTGGACATGGAGGGCAAGGTGTGGAAGACCATCTCCATGCCACGCGGACAGTTCTATTATAGGGTTGGGTGGTCACAGGGTTGCCTGCACTATGCTACTATATCTCCAGTTCCTCTCACTGCCAGCAACGACGACGATGAAGATTCACTCAAGATGGCTGAAGAGGTTGCGATCTGGCGCCTTGAGGATTATGATACCCAACAATGGGCCCTGAAGCACAGTTTCAGAATCGATGAGGTGCTGAACCTAGCTGAGGTGGAGTACCAGCTGGTTGGGTTCCATCCCGATCGTGACATCTTCTTCTTTGTCAGCATGGGTCTTTTTGATGGCGATGCACGAGATGCGGCTTCATTGCTGTCGTGGGACATGCGACGTCACCAACTCTCAAGTGTGCTCGATCTCGAGAAATGCAGTGTCGGGCCATATCGGCCTTATGTTCCTCTCTTCTCATCAGAGCCACTAGCAGATGCAGATGGGCACTAATTCAGTTTGATTTCTGCTTGGGCTTGCTCCGATCAATGGAATAATCATGTATGTGTACACCTGCACTTCTTAATCTTCTTGAATTATGTTAGTCAGTTTGTTCTGTGGGGCTGAATTATACTATATACTGTTATCCAGCTTTCTTGGCCATGACATGTCATGATTATGGTTGTCCTGAATCCTAGTATTAGTGAGTGCTACTTGTGAACTTCGTTTTGTTCCTTTTCAGTTATCATATGTTTGCTGTTGCTGATTAATTCAGTCTTGTTTAGTTGATGAATTCGGTCTTATGCAGTAGATGAGCTCATGAATTAAGTGCATAATGCAAACTTTGCTGAGAAGTTTCCTTGTTTGGTGTATATGCACGTGCATTTGGTTTGTCTCAATTATTCATCAGGTGATAAACTAACGGTTACCATGTAGGGTTGTTCATCAAATATAGTGGTATAAAAGGTGTTCGGATAGTCCTTTTCATGACCTGAATTTTATCATCACTCGAAACTTCAGCAGAAATATTCGTAAGAATTTTTTTTGTAGCGGGGTTTGACAGGTTGAAGCTGACCTGTATTGGGAAGATTGCTCTCCATTTAACACCGACAGACTAAAAATAGCATAGTTTGAATTGTTAGAAGGGGATGCTGTCACTTCTTAAGCTTACTAGAAAAAGAAAGAAGAAAGTCCTTTCTTTAGGAAGTAATGTAAATCTGGTGCAGGCGGTAAAGACATTTTATTATATGCCAATTCCTTTTATAAGAATTTGTTTGGTCATTCTGAATGTCTAAAGAATATTACCCTGGATATTGAGATGTAGTCTGTTTTAAATGATTTAGAGAGGGAGAGGGAGAGAGAGAGAGAGAGACCTAAATGTGCTGGTGCAAGTAGTTTACATCAGTACATACCTATCTGCCGTCTCAATGGTATTTTAAAAATCTTTACAAAGGCTATTAATAATAGGGATGCTGTTGTAGGACAAGATTGTTGCTCTAGTGAAACAATTTTTATAGAAGGTCGTTTTATTTTGGATGGGGTTTTAGTTCTGCATGAGGTGCTGCATAACATGCATAGAAAAAAGATAGACGATGTCTTCTTTAAGGTAGATTTCGAGAAAGCATACGATATGATTAACTAGCTTTTCTTAAATTTGTCATTATTAAAAATGGGTTATGTAATAAATTCATTAACTGGATTATACAAACACTGGAACATGGTAAAGTAGTTGTTATGGTTAATTATTAGGTAGGGCTTTTTCTAAAACTAAAAAAAGGTTTAAAGACAAGGCGTTCCCCTTTGTCCGATTCTGTTTAATATTGTAATAGATATTTTACACTTGGTTTTACTTAGAGCTCAGGAGATGGGTTTGGTGCAAAATTTAGTACAACACCTTTATGGGGGTGGTTTGAATATGTTACAGTATGCTGATAACACGATATTTATGTTTAAAGCAAACCTAGAAAGTGCTCGCAATGTCAAGATTATTTTATGTTTGTTTGAACACCTGTCTGGTTTGAAAGTTAAACTTTCGTAGAAGTGAATTATTTTGTTTTGATCGAACTGTAGAGGATAAAAAGGATTATGCTGCTATTTTCACATGTGCCCATCTAT